AGTCTGTATTTTCAAGTTTATTTTCCCATCCTTCTGGAGACTGCTTTCTTTTAAAGAACTATTCTAATATAGAGGAATTGTACTGTCTTGGTGTGTCTGCATCTTGTCATATAATCTGAGGGGATATCAAAACAAATAAATACAAATAAATAAATACAAACAAATAAATCTAGATGATAAACAGGAACTAGATCACTACATCCCATAGGTAGCTTCTGATTACCCAAACCAATGGCTGTTTTTATGGTCCTTCGGCTCTGTCAGGTCATTAAATGCCTTACTGTCTTAGGTTTTCCCCATCAATGATAGGAACAGTCACGGTACTCACTTGCCTTATGACATGCTTCCTGATTTTAAGTTGGAAAATGCTGTATTTGAGTTAAGCATCCTAGCAACTTAAGAGAGAGGCTGAGCGGCTCAGAAGGGGCACATCCATTAATCATCTGGTGAATGAAATTGTTTCTTTTTTAGATTGTAATTGGCTAGAGGGGCCCCATGAAGAAAACTCTGTGTTTACACTGCACAGCTTTTTATGAGCACAAACGCGTATATTATGATGGCTTAGAGCCTGGGCAAAAGCTTGGAGCTTTATTTTTCTTTCAGTAAGTAGATTTGATCTAATCAGATAACAGCAGCAATACAAATTTTCACAATAGCAGTTGGCCTTTATCTGGCCAGTCTAAGAACAAAGGCTTACTGTTTGTGATATATCTTTCAAGATCTCTTTTATGGCCTAGATAAATATTAGAAACAAACTCCTTGTCAGTAGGCCTTCTGTTAGATTAAAAGAAAAAGGCTGCTCTTTGAAGGTCTTTGGGTTTTTTTCTGAGAAATTTTACCAAGTGCCAAATACAAATAGTCCTTCACAGTCAGTGTGTATCACCAGCCTCTGGGAAAGATACCCAGAACTGTTGCCCCGAGTGAAGAAAAGACTAATACCCTAATTAGACAATACCTTATTAGGGTATTAGACAATATTCTATATTCTACCTGTTCTGCACTTTCTCCAAGAAGTAGAAATTACTATCAGTTCCCTACAGAATTGTGACATGTGAATATGCAGGGAAAGCTGAACAGGGAGACTCTTCCATTTGGATGGCAGGAAGGGACCCAAGAATTGAAGAATGAGATTGAGACACATTTGTCTATTGAGGTGAATTTCAGTAGATTTTAGGCAGTCAGCTCCCTAAAATCTGATCCAAAAGGCCTTTCCTTCAGTCATAAACCCACATGGCACCACCTCTCAGGGCGAGGAGCCTTGCATAGCGATTTCAGATGTTATGGAGATCAATATGAAGAACACAGCCCCAAGCAGCCTCCTCAGGAGCTGCATGGGGGTCACTTAAGGGAACTGCTTTCACCATGAGGCTATAAGCGTGCAAATATGTTAGGTAACAGCACCTTGTATCTCCTGCAGAAACTTAGCTGTGCAAACAAGAATGCAAGAGCTGTGAGGATTTTTTGCTGAGGGGTTGGAAGATAAATTCCTTGAATTATTTCAGAATAGAACACTGGTTGCTTGATTTTGGTTTTTAATCCAAAATGCTAGTTTAGCTAAAATCCATAACCAGACTTCAACTTTAGAGCCCAATGTACAGAGTACAGAATTAGCAACTGATGGTACTGTCCTCTACTGTACTTTGTCAATACATGCCTGTGGCATAATGTTGCATCCAATCACTATTCCCCTTGTTATGCAGAATTGGAGAACTGTAGTTAGCTCCTCAGTTCCTCTATTAACATCTCCTTCCACTTTGAGGTACCAGTTTCCAAAGTTACAGCCTCTTGCCTCAACAGCAACCCATTCTCAGAAAACCTGAAAGTCATAGGTAGCCAGCCCAACTGTTCGAGATACGAAGTCACAGCCCTGTGACATACAAACAACAGAGACAAGCTTCCATTGTTTGCAGTGGGGTTTGCTTATTATTCTCCTCTTTTTGTTTGTTTGTGGGGTTGGGTTTTTTTGGGTTTTTTTTTTTTTGTTTTTTTTTTTTTTTTTAAGTCTGCTTCGTTCTGTTTGGGTGTTTCCACAGAAGAGTCAATGCAAGCCAAAAAAGACAGGAGCTGCACTAGCCATGTACCAGGGACAGGGTACATAATTGTGCGTGGGCTGTGTTAGGTTTGTGCATGCTTTCTAGTCTTCAGAGACTTTGGGGGTTACTCTTCTGACTGGGCAGCTAACATCCAAAATTCCCCAGACAGACTCAATAGCAATGTGGAAAGAGGACAGATGCAGTAGGTCATACTAATGTAGGAGTTAAACCTCCTTTATATGCTGGTGTGCTTGGTTCATGCCTAAGCTGAAGTACAGTGAAAAGAGAAAGGAGCTTAAGAAAAGATGATGGAGATGGGAACTGAGATCGTTCATTGAGATACCAAGTCTCAAGCCAGGCGCAGAGTCTCCTGCAGCGCTTCTGGGTTGGCTCAGCTGTCCCACACTGCTAAACTGTGAGCGAACATTTCAGCCCTAACTGCCAACAAGCTGTATGTGTGTTTTGTTGTACCCTACAGCTCAGCTTTGTCCTGTCAGCATGGCTGAGCGGTAACAGACTGTTGTATCTACCATAACCCCTTTCCTGGAGCCGCTCCAAGCACCTTGTATGCAACACGGCCAAAGATCAGTTACAGATGTACAAAGATCAGGTATTTAAAGCTTTAATTCTATCAGGACACGAACATTTTCCTAACATTTGTTCTCAAAAGTAAACCGGGTTTGAAAGAGGAAGGAGAGAAGAATGAAAGGATTTCTTTGACTTTGTCAGGGTTCTTGTTCCAGAACTTGCGGAATGAATCAAGAGCCCTTTGAAATCTCAGAGTCCTCTTAGCTGAGATCTATACTAAATCAGGCTTAATCTGAAACTGAGCAAAAGTGTCCTCCCTTACGCAAAGGTTCCAAACTCCTCCTGTTCATCGTTTCCTTTTCCCAACAGCTCTTTCATGCCCGTGTGCTTTGTACCTGGAGCTGACTATTGATGCTGTTTGTGAGTGCTGCACTTTGCCAGCTTCTGCCAGAAAGATCTGGGGTTAACGAACTCTTCTAGGAACTGGCTAATCTCTTGTTCCAAAAGGATTTAACAACTGACTGTTGTTTCTGGTCTGGGAAAGACATCCTGCAACCTTTGTCAGTAATGTTGGATTCTGTGTAGAGGCATAGTATGCCAGAACGATTTCATACTAAGAGGATAACTACTTCAAGCAGAATTCAGAAGCTGTATATGGGCAGAACCCCCAATTTGTTATCACAACTGTAAACATGTCCATGCCTATAAGGCAGGATAGCTACTCCGGGGGACAGAAGTTGGCAAGAATGTATTTATATTAGTATCTAACAATCAGAAGCAACACATTTGAAATTATTTGATTTTCTACACAGAAAACATCCATTGCTGATTAGATTTCAAACCGGAGAATTCAAATCTTAGATTCTGCCAGAAAGCAGAAGTGTGGCACCAGTCTGTCTAGAAACTTACTCATAAACACTGCTGCAAACTCAGTGTAGCTTAGGTTAGACGAATATACAACAGTCTCTGTTCAGTTAGCTGGACTCTGGACATACACATATAGAAGGTGACTTACATGTATTTTCAAAACATTCACAAGGAAAGTTGTACACTGATGATGAAAGCAGCATGCATATCAAATTTTAAGTTAAATCAGTGTAATTTTGTATGCAAACCCATCTCACTATTGAAAAAAAAAATAAGGGACAATTAAGATGGTCTTTGTCTCTTCAGCGCCTAATGTCTTTGGGTATAGAGGTGAGAAAAGAAGACTATCTTCTATGCATTGATTTCACACGCAAGAAATACACCCTGAAGTAGTTTAATCCTATCTTTCTTTCTTTACTTTCTCTGGGGAGCTTTTGTGCGACCTGTGACAACTAGTGGTGTTTCACAGAAAGACAGCAGGGTAACAGCAGCACTCATTCAGACTCCAAGGAAGCTCTGACATCTTGCTGTCCAAACAGCAAGACCCTTAGCTATGGAGCTAAAGGGAAAAAAAAGCCTTCCAACCTGGCAGGAGGATTAATGTTTATCCCTTAATCCTAAAGCAGACTTGCAGCAATTAGAGATGAGATTCTAACACACTCATCAAAAGATACTGCTACCTTTATTATAGATATACCCTACTCATCTGTGATTCAGTGACCTACAGAAACATGAGCAAAAAAAAAAAATTTACCCCCCCCCCCCCCCCCGCAGATAATGAAAAGTTTACCAGCTTTACCTCTGTCTTTACCTTTTTATCCACCGACCACATCCAAACACCTAAAAGACCGGTATCTGTAGTCACAGGACTTCAGTTCTGTGGAATTATTTCAAGCAATCTGTGCTTGTGGTGGGCGCACAATTCCTCCGGCTGACTGCGTCATCACCTAGGAAAAATCTCCTTAGAAGAATATCATGGTCACTGCAATAGGTTATTGAAAAGATTTTCAAACTCTTTAAATCTTATGGAGGATTATATCAGACAGGTCTTCTCTAGAATCCACCCAGATAGCCAGGACCTCTGCTGCTTGGTTCCCCAAAACCTGTGGCTGACAACTGAGAACCATTTAGGCCTGCTGCACATAGGGTACATGTCTGCTCACTTCCACTGGCGTGTGCTGGTTCATATTTGACCTGGAGTTATGTGATGGAAGCACAGGAGGCTGCTGGAGGGAGTCAGCATGCTACTGAATGCTGCACAAAACCACTTCTGAGACTGAAATTTTCCTTTCAGATCACTCTTTTAAAAAGCAAGCAAGTACGCTCGGCCATCAGCAAGGACATAAATAGAGTATGTAACCTGTTCTTTGTTTACGTGGACTCCAGTGTGTTTTTGTTGGGGGTGTGGAAAGAGGAAGGGCAAGTGCTTTCTAGATCTCCATGGGAGATTTGTTATTCTGACTTCTTTCCTGGCTTGTGTACATCGAAAAGGAGACAGGCTTAGTCCTCCTCTTCAGCTATACTTCAGGCTCAGCTTACTGACAGCCTCTGTGGATGCCCTAAGGTGTACACACTGTGCTGAGACGGACAGGCACTACTGTAACATCCACTCTCAGGTATTGTCAGTTCCCTTCTTTTTGTGCTGTGCTAGTGGAAGCTTCTAGGTAATTTACAACCAAGTTAACAAAACTGGGTTTTTAACAAAGTTTGTACAATAGCGTAGGTCAGTTCCAGACAACTCAAAGCATTTGCATCAGCCTTCCCTGATCCAGACGCACACTTCCCGAGGAGACTGAGACCAGAGCTAGAGGATTTGCATTCTGTATGCACTCGCTTGCTGCCTTTAGATCCAGGAAGAATATCCACCCTCCATTGTAAAAGCTCTTTCCATTGCTCAGAAACATACCCTGCTTAGGACTTTCCATCCCCAAAGTATTTGTTGCATTTTTTTCTCCCCCTCCTACTTTTCCCCTTCCCTTTATGGCTTACCCTGACTTACATCAATGTGGTAGAAGGAAAGAAAATCTCACATCGTGATCTCTGGTTCTCTAAACTTCATTGCTCCAGTTTTCAATAACAAATGAAGCATTTACACATCCCTTCACCTCCATGTCCATGCACAGGCACATAACTGAATGGGAAGATCGTCATTTTGTGGGAAGAATATTCTTTCCAAAAGGTTTTAGGTGCTAATGTACAATGGTGAAGGGCTGTATAAAACGCTACATCGAGGGATTCTGTTAAATTAAAAATCTTTGTTGTCCTCATGAGAGCAGTAGAAGGCATTACTTACTGCCAGCATCCTCCTCCTGCTCATGGAGGGCCAAGATTCAGGGGAAAAGGTAGTAACTTATGCAGAAAAAATTGAGGGAGCAAAGAGTTTACAAATGAAATCTTCCTTGTCACCAAACCAGAGCAGAGGTGGAGTGTAACAACTGTTAAGAGATTGTTAGAGACCTCTTTAACTTAGAAGAATGTGGAAAAGCATTAAGTGTAAAAGCAAAGGTGGCTAGAAATATTTCACCATTTTCTTATTTTCTAATAATAAAAGTAAAGCTACGTTTTAAAATTTAAAAACAACAACATTTTCTAATTCTTCCACTCTAAAGATTTTGAGTTTTTCCTTGTGGTGATACAGGTCTATTAAATTTTGACTTCCAAAGTACTTTTTATTTGTCACTGGTTTTGGTGATGCTGTGATTTCCCAAACTTTAAAAACCAGCCATAGCATTTGGGCAAATACAAGGAATGGAAATATAAACGTCTGAAAGATAAATGTAATTTAAAACTATTTGTGGTAAAGATCTTACATTATGGTGTCAACATGAACCATTGTAATAGTAAACAAATAATAAAAGGGAAACTTCATGTTTTGTTTTCATGGTTCAAGCAAAGAGAAAAGTAAAAAGTAAACAAGATCTTGAATGAGCTGCTGTATGTTTAGTTGTGTCTTTTTTAATAACCCATAACATTTTGTAGTCACAAAGACAAACATTATATAGTTTACTGTTTACAATGTCCCCTTTTAACAGTGCATGCGAGGTCAAAAAAAAGGGTAGAAAACACAATTATTTTCTAGTACTAGGAATTATTCCCCATAGATGCAGTTAAAATCTCTTAACAGAATTTTGATACTCACTGCCTGCAATCTGCTTTTCTTTGCAGCACATCCTAAATTCCTCAGTGAGACAAAATGTGAATGAAAATACAATGCCAGGACTTCAGAATTCAGCACTCTATCCTATATTCATAATCTCTTTTACTTTCAGGAATCAGACCTTGTCCCAAAAACATGAAGTTGTCTTTAAAAATTACAAGATTAGTATTTAAGTTGTAAGGTATGCGTGTTTCCCAGTTGGTGTTTGGGCCTCTAGGGTGGACATTTGCAGACTCACCCTAGTAGTCACAGTTGTTACAAGTTAAGGCTTTAGTATGATCAGATGACTTTGAGAACATCACCAAAATGTTAGGTACGGTGAGATTGTGCCAGTTATGAGATTCAACGGTACTATAATATCCTTGTACTTCCTATTTAGCAGATAGTCTCTAAAAAATGGCTAGCTCTTTAACTTGGTATTTGTAATGGGAATATCATAGTGGTTTCTACTGACATACTTTTTAATTTCCCAGAAATCACTTTGTATGATGGCAACAAGCATAAGATGATTTTAATTCAAGTGCAATACTCTGCAGAGAATTTTGTACTTCTGCTTTAAAGAAGCAGTGTCCTCAAATCATAATAATAATTCATGGGGTTTACCTCTTTTTAATTTCTGGCTCAAAGCCCAACCTTTTTCCTCTCTGAAGTAGATTTACTTTGCAGATGTTAGATGGCCATTGGGGGTTTGGTTCTAGAAGGATTTACACTTAGCAATTTTTAAGCAGATTGTGCTGGAGGTCACAAAAATTCTTCCATTGGGTTGTCATTTCATTTCAATAAATGCTTTTTTAAAAGCAGAGGCAGATGGTTGCAATCTTAGTTAGAAGGTTTTTTTTAACTACAGTACACAAGCAACCACTTTAGGGCTAGTAATTTGCTCTGTTCTTTACCATGCTCAATAAAAAAGACCTTCCTTGCTTTGAAGAGGTTTTTGTCTCAGATAAAAAGAGAGACAGGCAGACAGATGGCATAGTGCAAAGAAAATCCAGAGTGGGAATAAATTAATAAATAGATTCATCACTAAGCTGCATAAATTGTGTTATGCACCTTTTTATATAGCTTAGGAATTTACAGTTCAGGAAATGTAGTTTTTCATAAAACATGAAATCTTGCAGCACAGTTTCAGGCTACCACGTTTTTTCTTTTCGTCCACTGTTAGCCTTGTTCATCCCTATACTTTCAAAACTATTTATAAATCTTTCAGGAACAAGTTCACATTGCAGGGTTAATCTGAAGCTCAAGGAGCCCCAAAAGAGGTCCCTCTTTTAAACATTCATGGCTGTTAGGCACTCCTGTGTGACAGCAATCTGAATTCCAAATAGCGTGATTGCCCTCACAAGGAGAGCACTCGGGGAAAGAGCAGCGTTGGCCTGCTCTGTGGAGATGACTGGACGACTGCACTTCACTTTGGTAATCCAAACTGTTTAAACCTGTTTGGATAACTGATTAAGGAATTATGCTAATACACTAGCATTATCAGTTCCATGATGCAAAATAAATAGCTAGGCCGAGATTTTCACACTTACCTAGTGGGGCTTTGCTGCCACCCTTAAGGTACATAAAGGAAGGTTACTTTTCAGCTTGTAGGGGGTGCTCACATCTCTTTGGGACCCATCTTCTGACCAGCCAGCCTATCAGATGATGCCTGTTAGACTTTAGAGAAAGGAAAAATCCCAAATCACTAGTAATTTTTAGTGTGACATTAGTCTTTTATTCTACAAATGTTAAAAACGTGCTGTACAACTTACTGCATAGATAGCCAACTACAGAATTAATGCTTACTCTTTTCACTTTTTTCACACAGATTTGTGATGCCGCATCAACAGCTAGTACTTGTCTTTGGAATATCACTAGCTAGTGATATATGTGCATTTAGAAGCTGTTATTCAGAAGGCCAAGTCTCCCTGTATTATTATTGCAACCTCACAGATATTCCACTTGTGCCAAAGGATATGGTGAAGCTTTTCCTAACTTTCAACTATATCAGACAAGTGACTGCAACTTCATTTCCACTGTTGGAGCACTTGTTGGTGTTGGAAATTGTAACGCAATATGTCTATCCTGTTACCATAGGAAAAGGAGCTTTGAACCTGCCAAACCTTCGTGCCTTAGACTTGGGATTCAATAAGATTCTTCAACTGCATCTTGATGCTTTTGTGGGCTTGCCAAGTCCATCTATTTCAGAACTACCTTGGAGATTCCATCCTGGAGGAATGTAACTTTCAAGATTTGAGCTCGTTAGAACTGGATCTTTCAGGGAACCAAATCACAAAACTTCAGCCTCATCCCTTATTTTATAATCTAACAGTCTTGAAATATGTGAACTCGAAATTCAACAAGATATCCAACCTATCTTAGCAGCTTCTGAGGAAAGCACTTTTTATTTTTTAGCCTCCGTTCTAATAATTTGTACAAGACAGATGAAATGGCCTGGGCCAAATGCCCAAATTCTTTTAGAAATATTACGTTTAACTCACTAGACCTTAGTGACAACGGTTGGAGCACAGATAAAGTCCAGTATTTCTGTAAGGCCATTAAAGGGACTCAAATCGGTTCTTTAATATTTAGGTCTCATACAATGGGTTCAGGATTTGGCTTTAATAACTTAAAAAATCCAGATAAGGATACATTTGCAGGACTAGCAAGAAGTGATCTTCGTTTGCTTGATGTTTCAAATGGTTAAATTTTCTCTCTAAATTCTTTAACCTTTCAAAGCCTTGGTAATCTGGAATTGCTGAACCTTTTCAAAAACAAGATAAATCAAATCCAAAGGCAAGCATTTCTTGGCTTGGGAAACCTAAAAACTCTCAATCTCTCATGTAATCTTTTAGGTGAGTTGTACGATCATACTTTTGAGGGTCTACATAATGTAATATATATTGATTTACAGCAAAATCATATTGGGATGATTGGTGAAAAATCATTCCATTACTTAACAGGTCTGAAAATAACTGATCTCCGAGACAATGCTATTAAAAAACTCCCTTCCTTTCCACATCTGACCTCTGCCTTTTTAGGTGACAATAAGCTGTCTGTAGTTGGCACAGCAATAGCAGCAACATACCTTGAATTAGAAAGAAATTTGTTGGCAAACCTGGGTGACCTGTATATTCTTTTCCAAGTTCCAGATGTGCGGAATATCTTCTTAAAACAGAATCGCTTCTCTTACTGTGTGAAAAGTGATAATGTTATAGAAAACAATCAGTTAATCTATATGGATCTAGGTGAAAATACGTTACAGCTTGTGTGGGAGAGAGATTTATGTTTGGATGTGTTCAGGGCACTGTCCAAACTTCAGGTTCTACCTCTGAATAGCAACTACCTCAGTGATCTTCCACAGGAGATTTTTAGAGGTCTAAGATCCCCAAAAAGACTTAATCTAGCTTCCAACCTATTGTCTCATCTTTCTCCTGGGCTTTTTCCACAAAGCCTAACAAACCTAAACTTACCTGGAAACCAGCTTTTTTCCCCTGGGCCTGAAGTCTTTATGACTTTGAGTATTCTGGGTATAACACATAATAAGTATGTCTGTGATTGTACTTTAAAGAGCCTACTAGTGTGGCTAAATGAAACCAACGTAACGCTAGCTGGCTCACAATCTGACAGGTCCTGTGTATACCCACCTGCGTTTGCAGGGATACTGCTGTCGTCTCTGATGTATGATGGTTGCAATGAAGATGAACTCCAGCAGACGCTCAGGTTCTCAGTATTCATCTTCACCGCCATCACTCTTCTAATGTTTCTGATGGCAGTCATTTTTACTCGGTGTCGGGGAACTTGTTTTGTCTGGTATAAAATTATCACAAAAAAAAAGATAGACAGCCATCCACAAGTAACAGATAAAAGTGAATACAGATATGATGCGTATTTGTGCTACAGCAAAAATGACTTTGAATGGGTCCAGAATTCCTTGCTAAAGCACCTGGATTCACAGTATTTTGATAAAAGCAGATTTACCTTGTGCTTTGAGGAAAGAGATTTCTTGCCTGGAGAAGAACATATCAACAATATTCGTGATGCCATCTGGAAGAGCAGGAAAACAATTTGCATTGTGACCAGGCAGTTTCTCAAAGATGGGTGGTGTGTGGAAGTCTTTAATTTTGCCTAGAGCAGGTACTTTTGTGATGTGAAAGATGTCCTCATTATGGTAGTGGTTGGGTCACTTTCTCAATATCAACTGATGAAACACAAACCAATTTGAAACTGTTTACAAAGGAGTCAGTGTTTGCGGTGGCCTGAAGATTATCAAGATGTAGACTGGTTTTTAAGTAACCTTTCTTGCCAAATTCTGAAGGAAAAAAAAGTGCGAAGGAAAGCTAGCACTATAGAGCTGCAGACTGTAGCAACACTCTCACATTGATAGTGTACGGGTTGCTGGCTTTCTAAATATCCCAGTTCCAGCTGTGCCATGGCAGGAATAAATACAAGTTTACTTCATCTTTCCTTGAAAAAGCAGGTAGAAATATAACTATTTCAGTATAAATCTTACTAAACATGCAGACAGCTTGAAAGCAACCATCAAATATATGAAAGTGCAATTATTTTATGGACTATGACACACATTTTCAGAATAATTAAATGAATCACAGATGCTTCACATTTTGGATGCTGAGCTTCAGACCCTTTAGTCCCGATTTTTGGAATACTACTTACTCACAGCTCTGTTTCAGTTACAGAAGGATGCCCATGGTTGTTTTTTTACAAAGAGCCCATGGTACTGTACGGGAGTGACCAAGTATGCTTTCACATATGGCCTAGCCTGACCATTGGTTCATGGATTACTTAATTCCTGTGCTTTCTGAACTCTGTAACTTTTCATGCTTTGTTTCAAAGTAGAATCAGTGCTTTGCACCTTTATGCTTTAAATTGGTGTGACACAGATTTAATTTCTTTCTTTTCTACTCAATTAGCCTCAACTGGAACATACAAACTTTGAACTTCATTCATTCCCTTCACCTCCACAACTTCTCTGCTTTGTGGTAAAATTGCGGTCAGTGGTCTACCTCATTTGCTGCTGTTTCAGCTTGGTGCTTTTTCAGTTGAGCTGCCTCCTGCCCTGCAGAGGGGAACAGGCATCCCCTTCAAATCTGGAGCAAGCCTGGGCTTGAAAAGCAAACGAGAAACTACCTCAGGAGCTGTGCGGGCTGCACACCGGTGACATGGCCAATAGCCCAGTGACTGCCAGACAGTTTTCACTCCAGGAGTGGAAAGTACAGACAACTGGTGTGTAATTTGGGTTGTTCTCTGTACATCCTGTATTCTGATCAATTCTAAGGTGTTTTTCTGCTTCTGTTGAAATATTTTTCTAGAGTCATTAATGCCTGGTGCTCTCTTACCTCTCTAATCATTTTACCACTGTTTGTTCAGGTATGTGTCTTCAGGGTCATTTGAATAAAAGCCTGGCTCATCGTTCACTGTTATAGAACCTGCACCTATTATTTTGATCGTGACATACTCCTTGAGTGTACCGTTCATCTCGGTTTATACGTTTATTCAACAAAAGCTTACCAAAATAATTTCACTATGGCCTCGGTGAGTATTTCACTGTAGTGAGGAAGCAGCAATGAGAGGTTTTATAAGATGTCTGTCTTGACCTCAGGTGCAAACAAGTAATACCATCCTGGCTATTTTGATGGAGATGAAAAAGTACAATCCACTTCATGGGACTGCAGTAGTTTGAGTACAGATGTGCCTGTGGCTGATCTAATTTACACTCGGTGCACCAGTATACAGGATTTCTATTGATAAAATTACTACAGTAAAATACTACTTTCTTCTCAATCAGAGTAGTCATTCAGGAACAGAAAAGGGCTAAACCTTGGAAGATTCTCCCGGCGGCACGGGGAAGCGGATGCAGACAGGGCGGGCTGGGCTGGCGAAGCCCTGGGTGTCGCTGTCGGCTCAGGGAACGGCCGGGGCTGACGCACCCCCTCCGGCTCCGACGGCTCCGGCTCCGACGGCTCCGGCTCCTGCTGCTTCAGGGGGAGCTCTGAAAAAGAACCAGCAGCCCTGGCTTCCCAGTGCCCCGTTGGGCTGGCAGAAAAGCCACCGCCTGCATTTCAACTTTCTGCATTTCTTACATTTCTCTGAAAATGTCCAACCTCTTTCCTCACCCCCCCCCAGTCCAAATATTTATAGGCATCCTTTAAAGTCAGAGGTTATACTAGGGAGTGTTTCACATAAAAAGCACTGACAGATGGCCAAAGCAGGCATGAATCTGTACAGTGAAGATCATGGGCAGGTCTAGGCTGCTAGCCTGTGGATCTGTACGTGGTGTAAGAGATGGGCATTTTAAAAGCATACTTAAGAAATTATATTTGAACGAATCTCACAAAACATTTTTGGTCAATTCTTAACTGAGAGCCCACTTCAGTTGGGACCTTATTGAATACTTACAAGACACTCTTCTTAATTCAGTTACTTAAAACTTACTTCTGCTGACCTATATATGCAGGAGTGACAGGTGGATGCAGAGATTACCGAGGTGGCTTTAACCGAGGCTTTTCCATTTTGTTCGAAATGCTTCTGTCCTCTTCCTGCTTATGCCACTGGTGGGAGGCGGCTACATAAAACTTGCATTTACTTCATTCTTTGGAAGGGTCTGACTTTTTACATAAGGGTTTCAATAAAACCTTTGGATGAAACTTCATTGTCTGCCTCCATGCTTATATACCGTTTTGGAAAGTTAAAGAGATCAAATCTGTGTCAGGAGCAGCTGGGAAAACTTCTTTCTACTAGAGAGGCAGCTTAGAAACATAGACGTAGCCCAGCCCCCCATCTGGCCCTTGCAAATTCTATTGCAAGGGGTCTACAAAAGGCAGTAAAAGGATTTTTGGAGAACATGCTACTGAATCATTCCTGATTGTGGAGTGGTTTGCAGGCCTATGAATAACTGCAGTGTCAAATTTTAAAGAGATCCGAAGTAACTTACTTTTTTACTCACTGTGAAACCACTCCAAGCCTGAGACTCTCAGAACAACTGCGGTTGGTACAGTCTGTCCTATACAATGAAAAAATGACTTCAAATAGATCGTAGGACCCTGATCACCACCTCTATAGAGTCACCTATTCTTAATTGACAAAGCCTGGGGAATTCTCGAGAAAGGGCTTGTGCAGACTTTATACTCCTCTGC